GGCTTATATTTAACATGGCCCTCTCCATGGCCCGTTGAGTTACTCTTAATTGTTTTGCCATTTTTCTTGTTATTGCCATAGTTTCCAACCCATAAGTTGCAACTGGTAGTATACAAGTGTCATAGGTTTTTCGTTTTAAGTGAATTGGGAATTTTTTCTCTTTTAAAATGAAGCTTAACTTACCAAAAGCAGCCTATGGCAATTACGTCCTTCTTTTAATTTCTAGGCTTTGGTTTTCCTTTTCGTTTTTAGTTGCATGTCGTATATATATATATATATATATATATATATATATATATATATATATATATATATATATATATATATATAATATATATATATATATATATATATATATATATATATATATATATATTATATATATTTTCTATATTGATGTTATCTATCGTGATGTTTTCTTGGCTGTTGCTTACTATCTTTGTTTTCTCGAGATTCATTTTTAATCCTATTTGCTTCGATTTGTGATTTAAATCTTGTAGTATTGATTTCAGTTCATGGATATCTGTGCTTATTAGTACTATGTCATCTGCAAAACGCAAATGGTGAAGATATACTCTTTTTTTTAAACACTGGCCAACATAATTAATGCTACATTAAGATTGAGTTATGTCGCAAATTTATGGACAATAGCTGAAATCATAATCATACCAAAACCAGGAAAATCCCCAAATTAAGTCTTCTCATAAAGGCCAATATCACTTTTACCAATGATGTCGAAGTTGTTTGAAAAACTCCTGTTAAAAAAATGGAATCAATAGTACAAGAGAAAACAGTGATTCCAAACCACCAATTTGGCTTTAGAAATAAATATTCTACGATTGATCAGGTACAAAGATAAATCAACAACATTGAAATATCATTAGAAGAAAAGTCTACTTCAGAATATTTTAAGCTTTTGACAATGTATGGCATGAAGGTTTAATCCACAACATCAAAATTCTTATATTCAGAAATTTTGCAGTCATACATATATATGACAGATATTTTAGAATTAAGCAAGAATACCTCTTTACAGATCTAAAAGAAATTAAAACAGGAATCCATCAAGGAAGCGTACTATTCGGTCCTCTACCTGTTATTTATATACGGCATACCTGAACTAGAAAATTATACCATACCCACCTTTGCAGATGATACTCTTAGGTGTGCAGTAGGTAATGCCAGCAAAGAACTAGAAGCAAAATTGCAGTTGTCAATAAATAAAATCCAAAATTGGATTAAAAAATGGAGAATCAAACTAAATAATTCTAAATTAATTCACGCGAATTTTAATAATAAAAAAATCCAAAACATTCCAATTAGAATAAATGATGACCAAATATCATAGGCGTTTTTCGCAAAATACTTAGTTATCACACTTGTATCCATTACAATAAAATGTATTGGCTGATGAGAAGGAATTCGGCATTGTCCATACATAACAAACAACTGTTATACAAATAAATACTAAGACCAGTATGGAAGTATGGTTGCCAACTCTGAGGCTGTGCCAATTCAAAAAATATCTAAAACATCCAGGGACTCCAGAATAAAGTATGCTCCTTGGTATATCAGAAGTGTTGACCTACACAAGGACCTTGAAATGGAAGACATGGATAAAGTTATCAAGAAGATGGCAGATAGTCACGAACAACGGCTCCGTGGTCATGTTAACATCAAGGCCATCCAGTTCCTCAATAATAAATAATAATAAGTTACAAAGAGGACACAAACGAAGAAAACAATTTGACCTAGTGTAAAGTGTTATTTAGTGTACAAGCAGAAACTATTGCTGTGTTATATGTTATCGTGCATAGTTCGAGAACACTATAGAGATAATCTCTTACAATTTAAGTATCATTTAGTAGTTTAACTTAAAGAAGAATTGATAATTGGTCAACTGTGACCAGATTTCAGTAGCATAAACACAGTTTAGGTGTTAATAAAAAAAATTTGATCATTTGTATTTTCTTTAAATAAATTGACATATCTAACAAAACAATTTTTAAATATTTCAGAAATATTTTTAATTTTACCTAGTTTCTGGCATACGGTATTGAAGATCCCAGTTTCTGATAATATCATAGATGGTTTCGTTGATGAGTCCGGCTTCAACCAACTTTTTAATTCTCTTAAGAAGTCGGTAATATTTTCTATCATCCAGTGTACCTTCGTGTTCGCGCAAAATATCAGCAAGAATATCACCTTGGTTGTAGTCTGGTTGAGCGACATAGATAGCGGGGACGTTCATTCGTCTAGGTTTGAGTGATTTTCCTATTTGAAAAATTATGGTTCTTGTATCTGGACTCCCGAGAATGACCTCTACTCCTCCAGGATCGGTAATACTTTTGAGAATCTCTATTTGGAAGCCCCTAGAGTTTAAGATAGTTATAGTTCCATCTTTCTTAACTCTTACAGTTCTGCTAAAAAGTGTTGGTAAAGAAATGCAGAGTGCAACTAGAGACAGAAGAACACACACCTTCATCATCGTGCTATGCTAGTCAGTGTGGCTTAAAGTTGGCACTCTCTATATTTTATAAGAACTAATTTTTTGTTGGAAGACACTTACTTGTTTTTTAATTGCTATCACACCTAACAACAAATCCCAACTAATTTGTCGAAATGTAAGTCACCTTGGTCACAAATTTAAGATTATTATTGTCATAAAATTGTTTTAAATACCTAAATCTGCACCATATAGGTGTAAACAATTCTTTTGTTAAATGAACGTGTTTTTTTAATTGCGTTAGGATTAAATAAATATTTGACAACAGTCTTGTATAGACATATAAAATAGAAAAATTTATATTATTTTAATTTAATCTTGGTTTAAACAATAATCTTTTTAAATTGCTTATCAAATAGATTAATTTCTGACATAAATTAAATATTTTTGTTCTTTTTTAGCAGAATTTTTTTGTTATTGGTGCATTTATACAAAAAAACGGATGACATCTGCACTTTTTTATATTGTTTACATGTACAGGGTGCGACATGCCTGTGGCTTCCTTTGATTATGGTTAATCTATGAAGTATATAAAAAAATGTTTCAAACAAAACTACTGTAAATGACATGTGAAAGTTTTTCTAGTGTAGTGGTAATTTTAAATAATTTAATATCTTTGGCATCCAGCCATCCAATATACAGTGTGATCACTATTTTCAAATACAAAATTTTCTTATTTTTTTAATGAAACATCCTGTATATTAGTATTTTGTACAAAATATTACAACCTTTCGTGTAGCAGGTTTCGTTTTGTATATATTTAGAGAAGAACTATATGTTTTATGTTTTTGCAGATATCTTATTATTAAATTTTGTATTCCTACTACAATAAAACCTAATCTAATCTTATAAACATGTTGAAATCTGTTGAATTCAATAACTCATTATGATATAACATAATATTTACCTAATCGGTAAGATATATTCATAAATCTATTAGGTACTATGTTAATATCCTTATCACAGATAATTTAGATAATTTAGGAGAAGCTACAGATATGTTAAACGAATTGGATTTTGCATGTTCGAATGTGGGCCTGAGAATGAACTTGACCAAAACTAAGTTTATGAAAAAGTTGGTCCCCAATAACCATTTGACTATTCAAGACAAAGTGGTAGAACTGGTGGAGAAATATACGTATTTGGGTCATGAAATAAGAATCAGCAGGGATAACCAAACATGTGAGATCCAAAGACGAATTACTTTAACATGGGCAGCCTTTGGAAAACTGCGAGACACACTTAGGGCCAACATACCAATCAGCCTCAAAAGAAAAGTGTTTGACCAATGCGTATTACCGGTCATGACCTATGGGGCGGAAACTATGACTTTAACCAAGACCACGGCTTCGAAACTGAGAGTGGCACAGAGACGAATGGAACGGTCTATGCTGGGAGTGACGTTGAGGGACCGAATAAGAAACGAAGATCTGCGAAGAAGGATGAGTATTACTGATGTTGTGGAACGCATAGCGGAACTAAAATGGAACTGGGCAGGCCATGTAGCGAGAATGCACGATTCACGATGGACGAGCAAAATTACAAATTGGAGGCCAAGAGCAGACAAACGCAGTAGAGGAAGACCACCTACACGTTGGGCCGACGACATCAGGCGTATCACTAAAAATTGGCAACAAAGAGCACAAAATCGTGAGGAATGGAGGAGTTTAAGGGAGGCCTATGTCCAGCAGTGGACGTGATAAATAGAGGCTGGATGATGATGATGACTATGTTAATAAATGTTCAAAAAGTTGTCCAATATTCTCCTGTAGCCTACTTGTACTTACATATGGAGCTCAAACCGGAACATTCACTAAAATAAACATGAAATACAAAGACCACGAACCCAATGAAGGCATTCATAATAGAACAAAAGTAAAGGATGCTGTCGAACAGGCAGCTAAACTGAAATGGAAATGGGCTGGACATAACGAATGTCTTAGGAATGACCGATGGAATGAAGAATTCGGTAATTGGCGACCATATGAAGCCAAAAGACCACGAGGAAGACCACAAATGCGTCCGGAAACGTCTTACAAATAATAGAGATAAATGGCGAAAACTAGAAGAGGCCTATATTCGCCAATCCGAATAGAGAGAAGGGCTTAAAAAAATTGCTATTCATCTTCAGGTTAACGGTACATAGTAAACTAAATTCAGAAAATATATTGATCCGATAATTATACCAATATTACACACATATAATAAATGAAATAGATATACACATAACATTTTTTATGACATAATAAAACATAGCTGAAACGAAGCTGAAGATAAGCTGAGAAAGCTGAGCAACTATTTAGAATAACTCGAGACAGAGACAGTTTCGCCATGTTAATCGCCAACGTCAAGGGGACTTGATAGGGCACGTTAAGAAGAAAGAATAAAACGTTATATGCGGAAATAAAAAGGGAGATATGCAGAAAAATATATTTATTTATTTGCAAAAATCATAACAAAAATTTTAAATAACGAGTTACAAATAAAGCAGTCTTTAATAAACGCGAGGCAATCTTTGGAAAATGCTTTGAGTCTGCCACAAACGTTCTTGTGTGTTAGGAACCATCTCGGTTATTAATTGTTGTGGAACAACTTTCAATTGTTGGAGCATGAGAACAATCTGTTGGTGGATTAGTCTTTGTTGGTAGATCAAATCTTCAGGTACAATATCTCCGTGTTGAATCAGCTGAAGTAATTGCTTGTAAATGATGAAGTATTGGGAAACTAATTCTTGGGGAATAGGGTGTCTTTGTTGTCCCAAGAGTTGGATCAACTGTTTGTAGTAGTTTTGTTGATATACGAATTGTTTAATCAAAACTTGAAGAAATCTTTCAACGTAGTGGTAGGTAATTCTTTGGTAGAGGACGACTTCCTGTGGGATAACTTTTCCTTGTTGAATTAATACTTGAATTTGTTCTCTTACGTGTGTTTGTTGGAATAATAATTGTTGAATTAGTTTTTGGATCTGTTCGTGAATAATAGTTTGTTGTACAATCCATCTTTGAAGGGATATAGTATCGAGTTCGGTTATGCTTTCGGCTTGACGGTTCAAGAAGAGCTGTTGGTAGTTCAAACGTTCGATCAATTCATGAACTTGTTGGTAGACCAATCTCTGTTGGTAAACAAGCTGCTGGGGAACTACTTGTCCTTTAACAATATATTGTTCAACTTCACGTGTAATGAGATTTTGGTGGTAAACTAATTGTTCAATAAGCTTTTCGATCTGTTCGTTAATAAGTTGTTGTTCGTAGAGAACATCTTCAGTGATTGGTTGTCCTCTTTCTATGATTTCAGTCCATTTTTGGTTGATCATTTCTTGTTTAACAAAGAGTTGTTCAAGAAGTTGAACATTAACGAATTTTTCAGGAACTTCGTATAATTGTTCTCCATTTACAAGTCGCATGTTTACCAAATAACGGTTCAATGGACTTTGTCCAATCTGTTGTCTGTAAATTTGGTTCAAGATTTGGTCAGTGTTTATTTGATCTTCAAGAAGATATTGCCCAGATAGATATTGTTGAGGTAAATATTGTTGTTGGTTTAATAAACTTTGTTGAAGTTCACGTTGCTGTTGGATTTGTCCGAGCAGAGTTTGGAAATGTTTAAGTGGAAAATAGTTTTGGAGCAAGTCTTGGTCAAGATTCCTGTAAAAAATAGTACTGATTATTATTTGAATAATGAGTTGGTATACATAATAAATATTTTAAAGTTAAATTAAAGAATATTTAAATCGTGTAAAATAAAGTTAATGTTCTGTTAAAATTAATGCAGTGAAAAGCTTCACATAATATGTGAAACCAAAACAAATTTACTATTATACAGTAATTAAGCACACGATAATTAAAAAAACGTACATTTGAGAAAAATATAGAATGAGAGAGAATGAATCAAATATGACCTCTTTAAGAAAAGGTTGAAAAATTGAATAGTCATATAAAATAGGAGGAATGTCTAAAAAATAATAGTTTTCAAAGTTGTTGTTGACAGTTGTTGTTGAGTTGTGACTGCGGATACTAAATCCATTCACCAGTTGTTAAAGTTTGATAGATTTTATTTTTAAAAGTAAAAATAAATTGAGCGAGTCGCTTAAAATGTTGCATAATGTATCCAAATGATCATTAGAAGAAGAAAAAAGCTAAACAAAGAGAATACCTAGGATGTTGATAGACAGATATAGCGAGTTTGATAGAAAACAAACAAAACTAACCTATCAGATACGGTACATTACACAAGACAGAGAACATAGAAAAGTACATGCCCGTTTAAAAAGAAACTTAAAAGAAAAAATTCATAAAAAAGACCATTATTATATAAAATGATTTGCACGAAATTAGACAGATATATGTGGCAAAAAGTATCCGAATTAAAAAAAATCTACTGAATTACAAAAATTACGAAATGACTACAATAATTTAACGTTAATAAAAGTGAAAAAAGAGTAGGAGGATAATATAAAATTTCCGAACGGAAGGTAGACAAGACTATAACAAAACCAGAAATTGCTCAAGTAAACAGTAAAAATATAAAAATAAGAAAGATGGAAAAAAATGGGAAAAAATAAAAACCAAAATTTAAGACCAATTGCAAAGAAGGGTAGGTATCATCAACTAAACAAAGCAGCATCTCCAGATCTGAAGACGTACCTATAGAATGAACGGTAACTCTCGAACTAACAGTGTGAATACTATATAGAAGCTGAATAAGAATTTTGAAGAAATGTATTTATATTATACCCATTGTTAGACAGTGCAGTAGAAACAAATTTGAAAGTACAACTAATGCTTGGGAATAGAAATCTTTGAAGATTGCTTGCATATTTGATTGTAAATATTTATGAAATAAATTAACAATGAAGATGATACAAGTCCCATGATTTTAAATGACGTATAAATAAAACTGAAGATCTCGTACAAGACAAAGTCCAGGAAGAACATGAACATTCTGATTAACGAACCTCAGAACCTGATTCACCACATCTGCACAGATTTTCTGCCTTGCTGCAGACAAGATATACTGCTATGCTGATCGCCAACATTCGTTACAGATAGGTTCATCAAGAACAAGATCCCATTCTTTCTCGAGGAAAAAAATCTTGAAAAAATAAATAACAACTTACCAGTTTCTTTGGGTTCCATAATGTAAATTTTCACCAAGACGCATAACATCTCCAACTTGTCCAACGTATTGACGAAGAGCACTTACTCCCTGAACGGGGACAATATCACTAAAAAGAGATTTATTATAGAAAAAATTATATAATAATTTATAACAGAAGGGAAAACATTGCGAAAATATTATAATTGCAAGGTATATACTTTTTCAATTGTTAATAAAAAAACCTGATTCCACTGAAATATAAATTAGACGGTATGATGACATAAATGAAGTAAAACAGACCAGAATGAAGTAATGTAGTGAAGCATGAAAACTAGTGTGACAAAGTGGACAGAAGAAAGTAACAAATTTTCAATAGGAATAAAATTGAATTAGATTTATCAAGAAACATTATTTCTTATTTTGGTTAGTAGAAGAACTTAAGAAGGATTTTTAGACCTGTAGTACATGTAATTGTATAGAATATGCACTGATAGAGTACCACATACATTACTATTTGAATACTTGGATTCAGTTGGTCTGGACACATATGATATTAGATTGCTCAAAACTCTTTACAACAATCTGACAGCTTGTACTACGGTGGATCAAGAGGTTTAAGCCGAAGTTTTCATTAAGCGTGGTGTCAGATAGGGATGTGTTATGCCACCGATGTTGTTTAATGCCTACACTGAACCAGGTTTTGAGAAGGCGTTAAATAATCGTCTCGAAGGTGTTCAGATCGGTGGTGAAATTATAAATAACATCAGATACGCAGATTACATCGCTATGAGGGCAAAAAGCCTAGAACACTTTCAAACCCTGTTAAAAAAATGCAGTGACAAGGGCTTAACAATTAACGCAAAGAAAACAAAATGGATGGTGGTCAGAAAAATTAATATTGAAGACTTAATACTAAAATTAGATAACAAAATCCTGGAAAGGATGAAACACTTTAGATATCTGGGTTAGTTGGATTGACTACAGGGTTGAAAGTGACAAGAAAATTTTGATCAGAATAGAAATTGCATAAAGAAGCTTTATTAACTGGCGTTCTGTATTGTGGAGTAAAAGTCATTTTTATAGCTTGTTAATACGACGATAGCCAACGCTTTAAAAAAAGCACGGCATACAACGAAGAAGATTTTTATGCAAAATTATATAACAAAGTATACTAGGGGGATGTGTAGCAATTGGAAACACGCTCTCAAAAGTACTATGACAAAATGAGTATAATATGATACAGACATTGCTAAATGTAATATATAAAATTCTTTCTGGTATAATCTACAATAGATTATTAGAATACTCCGAAAATATAATTGGTGATACAAGAAAAAGCTTATGAATACGACATAGACCTATATGATATGTATATAGACTTTCAACAAGCTTTTGATAGTGTGAAAAGAGACAGAATGTTGGAAGACCTTTGGAATATAGGTTTACCTAAGAAATACATCAGGCCCCATAAAAATGACGTTGCAGGGCTTAAAAGCCGCAGTCAGAGTAGATGGAGAACTGACTCCCCTGTTTAACATCAACATGGGAGTAAGACAGGGAGATGCCCTATCAACCATGCTATTCAACCTAGTTCTTGAGGCAGTCATCAGAAAAACCAATATAACCGGCCATATAAACACCAAATCAGTACAAATTACTGCATATGCAGATGATGTAGCCATTATTAGTAGGAATAAGCCACGACTAATGGAAGTGTTCAAACAAATTGATTCTGAAGCAAGAAAAAGAGGTCTTAAAATAAATGAAGCAAAAACGAAGTATATGACAGTCAAAAGAATAACTGACAATGAAAATAATATCACAATAGACAACTATACTATCGAACGAGTGGATGCCCTTACATATCTCGGCACAGAAATCAATCAGAAGAACTCCGTAAGTAGCGAGATTAATCCACGTATTTCCAGCGGGAATCGTACATACTATGCTAAAAAAAGATTCATGACATCGAAATTATTAGACAAAAAAACCAAAATGATTATCTACAGAACACTGATTAGACCCGTAGTAACCTATGGATATGAAACTTGGGTAATGACGAAAAAAGATGAAGCCCAACTCAGGACATTCAAAAGAAAAATACCGAAGAAAGTATATGGCCCGGTACAAGAGTAAGATGGCACATGGAGAATCAGGAGAAACGACGAGCAGGGATGGGCGGTGTCGATAATGTCATGTCGACAATTCGATTGTCGACATGTCGACAATCATGTCGATGTCGAGTGATTTAAATTTGTTGCCAATGTCGACAATGTCGAGTATGTCGACAATTAGCAAACGATCAGAATGACGTTCCGTGCGCACTAATTTGAAATTTTAGGTTAATCTGGCTGCGCTGACTTATTGAAAAAGTATGCATTAATGTTTCAACAAGTTGCAAAGAGACCAAATAATCTCAAACTTTTGAAACTTTTAACCTCACTATTAACTTGCAATTGTCAAATTCATAGGATATTCCATAATTGTTTGATTGCAGGTTTTTCAAGTTTAAATGAATTTTAAATAGAATCATATAGAGACAATTTATTATGTGCAAACCTCATGATAGAGTAATGCAATGTAATGAATCTAAAATATTACCATATAGATGCAAAACCAGAAAAAACCAGCCAAACAAATTTTCATAGATTTTTAATTTTCTATCGTTACTCGTAAACTCGTAAAATTTACAGAAAGGTTTAAAAAAAATTAAAAAGAAACGTAAACCTAAACGTCAGTAAACGAGGTAAGATTTAAAACCACAATCAAACATATCTCAGTACATTGAAACCTTACCTTGTTTCCTAACATTTCGTTTACTTTTTTTTTAAATTTTACTAACTCTTTATTATAATAATTATAGTATAATAATTACTGAAACAGTGTTGAATCTCTTCGTGCTTTGGCAGAGACTGCATAATAAAAACATTACAACATTTTGCGGTTTTGCTAATTTTTAACCAAAGAAAACATTTAACCAATAATACATCAAATAGTTGTACTTTCCCCGTCCATATCTACAATTTCTTCCTCGTCCAGGTCATAACTATTTTTATCAGGATACTCTCCCTTTAATGAAACATAAATATGTACCAATTTCTTGGAATTAGTGAACGTTAATCTATTTCTTATCAGACTGTGAATGTGTCCCCAATTTGAAAAGAGTCTCTCGATTTGAGCTGAGGAGACTGGCATTTTTAGAAGTCTGAGAGCCATTTTAGCAAGAATTGGGCATTCCAGTTTGACCACTCGCCAAGTGTTGAGAATATTCCTGAAATTGTAAACCTAATATATTAAAAATCAAAAGAGCGATAATTTTGTCTGAAAGACTTACCCGATTTAGTGTTAAATTTGTCCCATTCTTCTATGCCCTGATTGCACAACTTTCTGAGTAAGAACTGAGTTATTCTACCAGTGTGCTCTGACGTAAGCTTGGAATTTTCATATTTCGGATGCAGATAGTACGCAGTTAATGCGTACACGTTTAACGCCATTTGTTGTCTGTGTTTCAATTTTTCTTTAAGGTTATCTGGCAGATTCAAATTGAGCCACAGATGAACGGCATCTGCTACAGATGTGTCAGATTTCTGACAAGCATTGATCAGATTACAAATGGGTTCATAAATTTCTATGTTCTGTTGAATCTCATCCACAAATTCATCGTTGAAGATTAATTCCTTGACTTTCGGCTTAATCTTTTTTTTCGTTACAGCGGCTACTTGTTTCATATATACCAGATTTTCTAGGAGACTTTTGAAAGAATCTCGGTAAGAGCACCATCTTGTTTCGGCCGGCAATTGGATTCTGCGCCCTCCCTTATCAACTATCATTTTTTCTAAATCTGGTTGCTTAAATTCTTTGAGGACAATGACCACATTGTCGACTAACTTTTTATCCAGCACGTCTTTGGCTAAAAGGTTGCCGGTGTGGCTACTGCACGTAGAGTGCCACATGTTGTGCTTGAGGAGGGATCCCATTTTAATCATTGCACTAGCATTATCCGAAACTATACCGTACGCATCTACATCGTATTTTTCTTTTGCAATTTTTTTAGATTCTGTTATTATTTCGGCAAGTTTTTCTCCAGTCTCAGACTCCGTGGTTAAATCCCAAGCATCAAGAAAGGCATTTTTTCCGTCTGCACTATGCAACATTGTCACAACCGTTTTAGAATTAGTAGATGAGTTTTTCCAACCGTCACACAAAATGACTGACTCGGTTTCCACTTTTTTACGTGAAATCTCAATACAGTCTTCATAGCACTTATTTAAAAGCGATGTACAAAGTTTTTTCCGGCCAGGAATTTTGTCTAAATAAGCAGGACGGATCGTTTTTATAAAATTTTTAAAGAGAGGTGATTCTACCACAGTAAATGGTAAGTTACAGCCGAATATAAATTTGGCTAGTGCAGTGCTTATCTTCTCCTCTTCATACTCTTGTAATATGTCCATATAGTCGGTGATTTTCTTTGATTTTTTGGCTGGTCTAGCTTGAGATGTAGCGAATAAATTTCTTTTATTCGTGCTTGTGTAGCTTGTGCTGGAGGAAGTTGGAGTACTTAAGTTAGTCAAATTACTACTCTCAGTATCAGTAGTTGATAACATCATATTTTCAACAATACTATAAGTGCCTTGAATTGCTACACCATTGTTTTCTTCCAATTCCAATAAGGCGGCATCGGTATCTAATGAATATCCTATAATTCCATCTAGCATGTTTTCAGGTGAAGTTCCAGTCACAATAGCTAGCGAACCATCTTCCATAACTTCGTAACTACCGTTCGTTGTATTCTAAAATTCAAAATAAAAAGAAACTCTAAGGGACTAAATATAAAGGGCGGATCTACAGACACCCTGTATACAGAAGTTGGCATAGATACAGCGTTTTGTACTTAATTCAATAGGCCAATCCGTTTTTTGCCGTAAAATACTAAACTTGGTGTTTTTTTAAATGGGACACCCTGTATATAGAGATGCAACAACGTGAAAACCTCAGAATACAAATTCTGGGGTGAAAACTGATGCAATTTATGTCCCCTTCCGAATTCTAATTAAATAGTAGGTAGTGTGTTAGTAGTGCGTTATTTTCACTTCTTGTCGTTAGATGGCTATACGGTTTTTGACGCCATGTTTTCTCCAATATACTACTACCGAAATGGTGATCCATGCGTTGTTGAGTTATGCGGCTCCGAACACATTTTACGATTCATTTTTATATTATAGATAAATGTAAGTTCAAAAAGTTCCCCCCAAAATTTTTTCTAGATCCGCCCCTGCTAAATATGTAGTAGAACATACGTCCTATATACTCACTTGTGGATTAACTGTAGGTGAAAAACCTGTGTCTGAGCCGGTATTTTCGTATATCGAAACATGCGACATTTCATTATTGGATTGATTACCATTGCCACGATCTAACTTGCAGACGTTTCTTAAAATGAAAGTACGGGACGGGGTTAGTTATCAGCCGATACAAATATCAATTTCAGAGAATAAATCTCTATAGCTATCCAGCTAAAATTAATTAAAATATTTCTTCTGTTTTCTGCCACTCATTTTGATTCTGATCAGATCAGATCACATTCAAAGTTTACAACTGAATAATTTCATAACATAACCTCACTTTTTTCCATTATGGACACGTTGCTGACATTGTCGACATTGTCGACATTGTTGACACGTTCTCGACATTGTCGACACGTCTGTGTCGACAATTAAAGTCGACGTGTCGATGCCCATCTCTGACGACGAGGTTAATGAGTTAAATGAAGGTTATGACATTGTAAGATTTGTGAAAAATCAAAGACTGTCGTGGCTGGGACATGTGCAGAGACAAAAGGATGCAAAAACAACAAAGAAAATGTTACAATGGAAGCCCATAGGAAGGCGAATAAAAGAAAGGCCCAGAACGAGATAGTTAGATGACGTGGAAGACGACCTAAAAACAATGAACATAAGACAATGGAGAAGAAGGGCACAAGAGAGATTTGAATAGAAGGACATAGCCAGACAGGCAAGTAATTGCTTGTTAAAATTAAAGAAAAATTGTCCACGATTGTCTGTGGTATTAAAAAGAAAAAACTGTTAATAAATATATTAGATGAGTACATTATAGAGGTAAATGAAACTGGTAACTGATATTTTTGAGGAGATGATGATATTTTTCATAAAAAATTATATATCAAGTAAATATTACAATAAGTATAAAAAATAAAAATATTATCTATTGACTAGATATTCTTAATTAGTATTCTTACCTAACTCCTTGCATACGGTATTCGAGATCCCAGTTTTTGATAATGTCGTAAATTGTCTGGTTGACGAGTCCAGCTTTAACCAACAATTGAATTTTATTGAGGAGACTGTAGTATTTAGTATCGTCAAGTGTACCTTGATAATGGCGGAAAATGTTGACAAGAACATCAGCTTGATTGTAGTCTTGGTCAACTGAAACGCCAAGAACGTAACGGTTGTTCATGTTTCCAGTTCTTAATGGTTCCTCGATTTGTAATATCTGGGTTCTTGTGTTGGGACTTCTGAAGACGACTTCGACAATTCTGGGATCGACAATACTCTTGAGGATATCGATTTCGATACCTCTAGAGCCGAAGAGAGATACAGTTCCATCTTCTTTTACTCTTACGGTTCTATCAAGGAGTGTTGGTAGAGCAACGCTGAGTGCTACTAAAGAAAGGAGAACTAATACCTTCATCTTCGTGCTGTATTAGTGAATGTGCCTTCTGGTTTGTATAGCCCTCTTTTTATATGAATTTACTAAAAGATACTAACTTGTTTTACAAGTGTTATCACCCCTAACAACACATTTATGTCTATGTCTAATTTGCCGAGACGTAGGTCAACTTGGTCAAAGACCTAAGATTATTATATGTAATAAAATTATTTTAAACGCCAATATCTGCACCATATCGATAAAAAATTTCTTTGTTATATAAATAGGCTATTAAATTGTTTTATAATAAATAAATAATATTTAAAAAAATTGATAACATCCTTAATACATACGGATTATAAAAATTAATCTTGTTTCTATATCCTGCTCTAAAAAATATCAATTTTGTAAATTAAATATTCAAAGACACGGCTCTAATAAAGGAACTACGTAACTGTCCTTATTGAAAACTTGCTCCAATCAAATTATACGAAAGTTTGGTCAATTATGGTTGTCAGTGCATAGATTAAAAAAGTCAATGTGACCTAGGTCTAAAAAACTATTAATCTGAAGCTGCAGCTTTTTAAAGTTATTGGTATTAGGTGTTTAGTTTACGTCCAGCATAATAATGCACAGTCAAGTGAACAAAAATATTTATTTTTAAAAGAACAGAGATTTGAACGCCGAATATAAATCCATAATAAAAAATAGATGCATCGTATTTTAGTCTTCAGAATTCATCGAAAAGTCTTTGAAATAGTGATGAACAGTGTTAGAAAATGTGCTGCTAAAGCGACAGACGAATTATCATTTTTTTCACTAAAGGTGCACACTTATCCAATCCAGCATAACTGCAATTCCTCCTTATCTTTAAAAAACTGAGGAACCACCACACCGACAAGTGCTGCTAGAGCAGCACGATCTCACGCTTTCACGCGTGCAGATTACATACCTAACCACCGTTTGATTTCCAAAAAAAAAAACGCTAAATCATTATTAAAAAAATGAAGAACCGCCACAGTGACACTTGCTGCATCTAGAATACCTAAAATATCATGTTACTACGTATGCAGAATCTCTTCAAGAGTTTTACTAAGTGTTAATGAGGACTTCGTCTAAGGGCGTATTTATTGATATAAGATTAAAAGCTCGAATAAATAAACTTTGATAAAATGAAAGGCAGATATCGAGCACAGTTTTAATAATTAAATCTCGCCCAAGTACTACTAGGAAGCGAAAGTACTTGGGCAAGATTTTATTAATAAAACTGTGCTCGATATCTGCCTTTCATTTTATCAAAATTCTATTTATAACTTAAGAGTGTTTTTACCCATTTTAGTGGATTTCAATGTGTAAATGCAGATAGCACTGATGATGGAATAATTATATTAAAAAACGTTCTGTGATGTAGCCCGAAAGGTTTTTTTTTATATCAATACACCTTCTATAAAGGAATGTTTTTAAAAAGAAAGAGACAGTCAAGATAGATACAAATAGCCACATTTTTGCTTTAATCTGTGCCTTCTAAGAATTGAAAGGCAAAACAGACGTTGATAAAGATGTTAATAGAGACATGGGGAATCTAAAATTTGCATTCCACGACATATCTCCTCAACTAAGCAAAAATCCTAAGGTTTCTTGTACTCATACAGAGTATATCCGAATAAAAAGAAAAAGACAGTCAAGATTTGATTTCACGTACAATGCGTCTGTGTATCTGCTTATACGTATTTCGCCCTAATAGGACTCTTTAGAACAGCTATTCATAGACGTTCTGAACGTGAAAATAAATTTTCTATAGATTTTCATCCAAATCTTCAGACGGTGTTGGTGCAGCCATCCTTACACCCAATACATCCTTAAAATTTAAATTCAATCCCATTACTTCGTCGTATACTGCGGAGTTGTTTGCAATATTACAAGCACTTATCTACATAAAAGAGTCGAAACAGTTCCCATCTCTCATAATAACCGATTCACTAAGCTCACTTCACACTATAAAACGTTTATATATCAATAATCCAATTTCCTCACATATCAAATCAGAAATAGAGATTCTAAATAATAATAAGGTCTGTTGACTGTTAACTGTTGACTGTTAACTTCATGTTTGTTCCATCACATTCAGGTATACAAGGAAATGAAGAAGCAGATGAACTAGTCCGCTTAGCATCCTTCAGCCAGGTCTCCATTCTTATTAATGAGGTTTCTTCAGATGACTTTAAGTTAGAAATAAAACATAAAGTGTTAAGTGCGTGGCAAAATAAGAGGAGTGCATCACAAAGTAAACTCAAGAAAATCAAACAATTAGTGAAACCGTGGCTCCAACCCACAGCGAATAGACACGACCAAGTGAGAATAACACGTTTGCGACTAGTACACAGTAACTTTACACATAAACACCTCTTTACGCGAACTGTGCCGCCAATGTTTGAAACGTGTCAAGTAACACTCTTCGTGAAGCATATACTAACTCAGTGCAAAAAATATGAAGCAGCAAGAAAGAAGCACACTATACCAAATAATATAAAGGAACCCCTAGGAGAAAACATAAACATTAAAAACACAATAAGTTTTCTTAAAGACTCAGGACTGTATTAATTATTGTAATTTTTTTTCCAACTTTACCTGTATTATATATTTAGGTCGCTAATAACTCTGGTGGTTACAGCGTAAATAAATAAAAAAAAAGTTTAGCTTCAATAACAAAATAACACACAACCACAGCTATGAAATTCTTCGCAATGCTGCTAAAGAACAGAATTATTTAATCCTGAATATTTAACATCTCACCTGACAAGGCGATGTACGGTGGACGCCTATGCAGAAATGCACGGCACCTTAAGAAGAAGAAGGAGAACAAAAGAACAATTCGAGGAACTATTTACTTACTGTGATTTTGTTTTTGAAAACGGTTAAGATAGATATAATAATAAGAGCGATTTATTTTGTTTCTCTGCAAGTTGAGACGACGTTTGGGTGACAGTTTTTTCATGGTTTTATATGGTTACAATAGCAGACAATATATTAGTATAACAGTAGATCGTGTTATAAGATTACTAATTCCAAGCAAAACATTGGATTCCAAGCAATACCAAGGAATTAATTTGATCAGCAACATGTAACGACTTACTCTAATATTTTTTACAATTCACATCTGCATGAATCAAAGGTAATTGTATTATTAAATGCCTTCTTCTTCTTCTTCTTGTGCCGTCTTCTAATGAAGGTTGGCGATCACTTCTTTAAACGCTTCTCGATCTTTTGCAACGTGAAATATCTGTTCAACACTGAGGTTAATCCAATCTCTGATATTCCTCAGCCGAGATTTCTTTTTTCTTCCCAAGCCTTTTCTTCCCTCTACTCTACCTTGCATGATGACTTGTAGCAGAGAGTATTTATCGTTTCGGAGTATGTGGCCCAGATACGACGTTTTTCTTATTTTAATTGTGTTCATAAGCTTTCTGCCATGTCCAACTCGTCTTAACACTTCCTCATTTGAGACTTTTGCAGTCCAAGGAATCTTCAAAATACGCCTATATAGCCACATTTCGAATGCCTCCAATTTTGTTATAGATTGGGTTTTCAGAGTCCAAGCTTCTACCCCATATAGTAGTTGCGACCAAACATAACATTCGACGAACCTCAATCTGATGGCCATACTTAATTTCTTATTTGTAAACATTGACTTGTATTTTATAAAGCCTTTTCGAGCTATTTCTATTCTGACCTTTATCCCCTGCTCTTAATCTAACTATGAGTTTTAATTGCTCCGAGCTATTTATATTTGTCGACTCTCTCTAGGGGTTTACCCTCCAATGTCAGTTGTATGTTTTCAACAGGGTTTTTTAAGATCACCATGTATTTGATTTTATTTATATTCACTGTTAGTCCTATCTTTTTGCTTTCTCTGTTAATGATTTCCAGGAGAGTTTGTAAATCGTCTATATTCTCTGCCATGATTGCGGTATCGTCTGCAAATCTTATGTTATTAATGATGCTCTCTCCAATCCTTACACCTTCAGTTCTTTTCCATAGTGCCTCCTGAAATATTAGTTGGGAGTACACAATAAATAATTGTGGCGACACCACACATCCCTGTCTAATTCCTCTTTGAATTTCCACCTGGCTTGTCTCACTAAATGCCTACTTGCATAAAAGCAACTGTTTTCAAGTACTTTGACGATTTTATCCAAAACACAAAAGTAACATTATTTGTCCATTTTGGGATCATACTTTTCTGATTCGTACAATAATGATGCTAAAATACTTTAACATGAATTGACCAGAAATAGAAATTTAAGAGATTCCAAAATGAAGACATAGTGATGGTAGACAAAGGATAACAAGATTGTACGTATATTATTTTTACAATTATTACTAGGCATCGAACAGACTTTTGCCGCTCGGAACCCTTACTTACGGAGTCATCTTCAATTTCGAAATCTTTATCGTTGGAGTCGCTTTCATCTGCCCTATTCCCCTTGGGAATGGTATAACTGTCACATATATAACAAAACGCATCGGGGCTGTTTTAGCACTTAAGACGTGTAAGAGCAGAGGTAGTCATAAGAAAACGTTTCAGTTCAAACATACTAAGTAGTTTAATACACTAAAGTAATGAACTACTAAATACTGCTAACCTACACACAACGATTTATCACAGTACAACAGACGTAACTGAAGTAAACAGGAAAGACTAGACCAGTTTCAGTTTTAACTTGACGTAATAGAAGAAAACTAAAAAGAGTTTTGAAACCAGCACGCCTAATTCTATAGAAAACAGCTAAACAAATCTAACTAAACAGAAATTGAGTTTCAAATTGTTCCCCAGTGATAGAGACAATAATGAAGAGTTTTAAATTGATGACAATATAGACGAAACCGGACTAATTAGATTTCGAATATTTTCTAGATTTCGACAAGCTACAAAATACCAAATATGAATTTCCTATATTGGTTGATGAAAAGAGTGGTGAAGTTAAGCCTACAGAAGACCTGATTAGCGGATACTACTATACCTATCAATCTGCTGCGAGAAC